CTCCTCCTCCTCCCCCTTCTTCTCCCCCTCCTCCTCTTCCCCTTCTCTGCTTCCTCCTCCTCCTTCTTGTTATTACTATTATGGTTATAATCTAAAAAGATGAAATATCTTCTCATTGCATTATTATTCTTTTTGCTGTTATAATCTAAAAGGGTGATGTCTTCTCATTGTTCTGTCTGGAATATAATACCCACATCACTGAACCATTTTACTCTTGGCACAACCTTCCTAAAAGAGAGGCTATGGTAATGGAACTTCATTTGTCTCTTAAGTTCTGTATCAGTTTTCTATCTTTCTGTGTTTCTTAGTAGACTTGAATCTTTGTCAAGTTCTTTCCAGAAGATGTTATGTAAGCAAGTTTCTTAATAGGTTGTTTGCCATTCGAATATTGATCTCAGATAAGTTTGACAAACATGCACAAACATTCAGAATATCCTGCTAAGAACAACCGCAGTAGAAAATATAGTCTTTCATGCTTTTCTCTCAAAAGTGACAATTTTGATCACGGAAAAAGTGCCTGATTAAATATTTGGAATTAAAATAAAGAAAAGATCATAACCCTGAAATTCCTATAAATATAAGTATTTATCATTTTTTACCAGTATATTAGCTGAATATTGTGCTTTCAAGGCAAAACTGTGTGTTTGTGTGTCAGGGGGGCATATTTAGAACAATTTACATATTCATAATTATTTCCAGTTTTGTCACTGTACCCAAGCACACCCATGCATAGACACATAATTGTGTATCTATCTAGAAATAATGGCAATGCTCAAACAGCATTGGCTTTACTTATAACACAGCCTCAATCCTTAAAATTAGTGATTTTCCTAGACCTTTGAATAGAAAATTTACCTATTGAATGCAATGTATCTAGCCAGATATTCATGAGGGAAAAAAAATCATGTGGTCTCACAAACAGAATGCAAGTATTGTTCATGAACACCATTCAAGGTAATGATGATCAGAAATGATTAAAATTACCCTTAAATATGTGATCAGTTATTCTAAATAGAAATATTTAAAAACAAATACCATAAAATTAGTAAGTGTGTCTTGCTATTTCTATTACTTTCCTGAAGGAAAAAAAAAATCTCAAAACAACAGTTGATAAAAAAACATCACTAAAGAAAGTACTATCAATTCAAGGCAATCACCAATAGGTCCTGAAGATTAGAATAATACTGATACTAGATTTGAATATTTATGTAAACTGCTTTTTCCAATGACTTATTTATAACATTGAAGATATTCACTGCCCCTGTTGCTTGGCTCTCATGTGTCTTCATTCAAGTACATATAGTCAGATTAAAGTGCAAGCGTTTGTTTCAAGATTTCACGCACCCAGTTGAGGGTCATCCTCTCATGATCACATGAATGTGTACTATTTTGTTGAAAAGTGTCTTGGTCATTCTGCATTAAGATAGTGATCATTGATATGTGCAGTAATACCCTTGCAAAGACCAACAGTCAGTGTGTCTGACTAGCTGCCGTGCTCATCTGTGATAGAGTGCAAAAGATGCTGAACTTCACAGTAGAAGTCTCTTCTGTTTACATAGAAAGGAATCATGGGTGGGATTCTCTGATAATTGCCTTTACATTGTTGTTTAATCTTGTTGATGAATGACTCTGTAATATTTTCTTTTTTGTCTAAGAAGTTATGTAGCCACTTAATCCACTCTAAGTAACTGCTAAAGTTCTCCAGGTGATGACATTTTTCAAATTATGACTCATCAAAATTGGTCAAAACTATTATTTTTCCAAAGTTGGATTTGTCATACAACTTTAAAAATTGGTAGATGGAACAGAAAATATGAATATGGGAATTCAGAGCTGTCATCCTTTGTCTATCCAGTTCTGAACTGTGATCGAGTAGATAATGGCAAAACAGCTATTTTGAGCTGAATTTTTTTTTTGCTGAGTGAAATAATTTTGTTCTATCTTCCTGGATTAGAATATTTCAAATGCTAAGAAGCGATAGAAATCAGGTAGGCAAATGGCTGGCAGCCATCATATTTTGATGAAAACATGTAAAATGATGAAATACCCAGGTCTCAGATAATTACATAAAATGTAAAAACTACTTTAAAGGGCTAACAAAAAGAAAAAACCAATAGGTAACACAGAAAAGAATGGCTATCAGAAGATACCAAGTATTTTATCAGGGCACCTGATACAATTGAAATACAAGTAAAGTATCTACTGCTTTCTTTTTGGGAAA